TCGACGTAAGTCAAACTAAAATCGCATGCCAAGATTAGTCTATTTTTATTACCATCATGTGTATGTAAAATGACATCTAACTCTGAAAAAAAAACTAACGGGGTTGTTTTGAGCATAATATGCCGCGACAAAAAGAAAATATAAATAACCATACGCTATTTTTACAAAAAAATATATATATCTCGTTTACACAATGCTCCAAGACAACACAATGCAAATCAACCCTTACAACAATAGCGACACCTCCCTGAGATCCCTATCCTTCCTTATTCCCCGTTACATCCAACGTAGCCATGTTTCGGTCAAAATAACTGTATGCGGTGCGTGACACAGCAATATGCTTTCGGGGTCCACAACTCTATTTAACATATACTTTGGACGTTTAGGTTGTTGACTCTTAGTTCGGCTGGTGCATGCCCTTGCTTGTTATGTCATTCACGCCTATTACTGCGGTTTCATACGGGAACACGTTGATCCTGCTTCAGGTCCCAATCATACATCTGGTTGTTGATCTTAAGTTTGTCACGAATTAGAAACACGTAATCCTCCTCTGCCCTATTCACCGCGGCGCTGTATCATACATTTTTTGCTTTACTTCAGTTTCCATGGTATAATCACTGCGGATAGTGATGATCGTTCCTTTTAACTTTCTGTAGCTCTTTAGCGCAGCAAGTTTGTTATTATTACTAAATATCTTTATTATGACCGGCCTACATGTTTGGTTTCGTTTGTACCGTAGTTTGTAGTTTCTTTTGAAAGACATAACTTGAACGCCGAGTTTAATCTCGAAAATTTTATTCATCACCTTCAGTTTCAGGTCATCATCACTTTCCTTTATTCGCTTCTGGTAGCCTGTGTACTATCAAGTTGTTCCTGCAGATTCCATTTTCGATGTCAACCATTTGATCGACAATGTATTCTGTCGTCTCTTCTGGGTTTTGAAACTTCTCGTTAATTTCTTTCATGTCTCCTTTACAGGTTTGCACTGTTTTCACTGTTTTCAAGCTTGATTACCCGCAACCAGCAGGGTAAACCGACAGTCATTAAAATATGAATTAACTTAGCATAGATGGAATATTTTTGTGAAAAACCCGAGTCTGAGGTATTGACAGGAGACGACAAGAAAAAGAAGGAGAAGGAGAACGTTTGAGACGTTCTCCTTCCCTTCCTTGTCGTCGTCTGCACTGGTACTTAAAACATGGTTACGATTGATGTGGGGTATTTTTTATATTATATTCCCCGTGAGGGCCTCATTCGAGAGGTGAAACTTGAAGGGATTTGAATGACTTGGTGGCCTTCCATAAATCAATTGGCTTTTAGTGGAGATGTTCTTAGATCTCCGCTTTTATTTTAATTCAGCTATTATCCCCTTTCAGGGCAACCTGTATTTACGAAAATCTCGAATATGTATTGGGTCTAGCGTTGCTCCCGCGTTAAGTGATATCTACCTCGCTGGATGGGATGGTACAAAAACAAAAATGCTGGACAAACAGGTATTGAGAATATTCAAATACGTGGATGATTATCGGGCAATCTTATCTAAGCAGGCTGAAAAGAAGTGTAGAGGTGGTTTCCCATTTATTGAACATTTTGGGGAGAGCTCTGGAGGTCGAAAGTTTACTTTCGAAGTTCCGCATTAAAACGCCTTGCACTACCTGGACTTAAAGTTGAACCTAGAACAGAATCATGTATGCTGGGCTTTCGAACTGACGACAAAAAACTATATTTTTAGCTATGATTACGGACTCTAAGATTGTACAGAGATGAATTTGACAAATCATATCTGAGAGCATCTTTAATGAAATGTCTTGATAAAAACTCCAATAGCTTTTTTATTCAGATGAACAGGCTGATTTCAACGGGATTCGCAAAGGATGTGATAAGAGGGGTAGTAGAATCGCTTTTAACTAATTCCAGATAAACGCTTGGTACTTCTGACAACGCTAGGTGCAACCCTACATCCCGACGAGTGGTAATACCTTATCTTCATAACCTCTTTCATTTCATAGATTAAGAAGGTGGCGGATAAATAAAAGGTTTCTGTGGGCTTTTCGGACCCGTTTAAATTGTCTCCATTGTGTGATGCGATGTAGAAAGCAAGATGGTATCGTGTGGTGCGTGAAATCAAATATCGTTTCAAATATGCCGCATGCACAGTCACAGCTGTGTATAAAATTCCGCTTTCTTGCGGTAAGGCATACATAGGACAGACAGGTCGGTGCATAAACGTTCGAGCAAGGGAACACTTTCTATCGGGTCACCTGCCAGTTCATTCCAATAGATATATGGTTGTGCACCTCTGTTTAAACATATTGGAATATTGGCAAGACACCGCAAAAATTGTAATAGGGAAATGTATTAGGCATATTACATCCGTCTAAACGGTCCTGATGATTGCTCTAGGGAACATTTAGTTATAACGCATAATGAAGTTATACATCATATGATAGTTATGTTATATAAGATAACGTATATGTGAACGTTTGGGTGTAGTTCCTACAGTTTTAAAATGTATTAGATATTGTAACAGTTTGTTTTTATTATATTTACTTTTAATTATTTTTCCAATGACTGGCCGAAGAAGTGTACTGCTCTGAATAAGTCGTTCTTTTTTCCCCACTCCATCGCCTGTATGTCTTGAAGAAGAAAAAACAAACGAAGTCGTGAGTCAGCGCTGTTTGTTTCCTCTATGTTTTTATCCTGTGTCTTTTTGGCGCTGTTTTCTCCTGGAACGTTCTAGACTGTTGACCAGTTTTATTTAACAATCGCGAAAGATTGTATAACAAGGTTAAAAACGATGTCCTTATCGAGATTCTTAGACAGCTGTTATAAAACTCAAATTCAATTTGCTTGCTATGCTGCATAATTCTAAAATGGTTGACACAACTCGTTTTCCTTCAAACTGTAACGAGGAACAATTTCAGTGATTTAAAACTCGAATAAACTAAAATTATTCTGAACCTACAAACTCAATATATGTGGGTTTTTTTAGTGACCGGAAGTTTAATTAATTTGGGTTTTAGGTGGTGACACCGATACCTTCATTAAAACTGTTGCACCTATATAGGCCAGATATAGTGTCTAAGCATTCAAAAACAAAGAGGCATGAATGAAATATGTATAGGAAGAACGCTAATCTCTCAGGACGTTTCACAAAGCGGTAAAAAATCCTTTTATTTATTTTAGTGCTATCAAACATCAAATTCTGTGTGGACTTAGAACGTTCTGAAAGGAATGTCCTTTTGAGGAGGAACGAAATGCGAACAGCAGAGCGCGTGGCCAACGATTCATGCTGAGCTACTTAGAGGCAACTAGGAACTGATAAAACTACAGGATGGAAAGGGTGCCACAAGAGAGAGCGCATATTCCGTCTTACATGCCCTCGTAGTCCCTATCTTAACCCTGCAGTATATTTCAATTCCCAGTTGCCTCTAGGTTGCGCCGCAGGTATTGAAGGTCACGCACTCCACTCTTCAAATTTCATTAGTCGAAAGTATGTGCGAAATTGCTCACATCTTTCGGCTCAAATAGTTTACTTCGCTTATTAACACACAGCCCCTAACCCTCTCACTTGTGTATTAGCCACCTCGATAGATACGTATGGAAATGAGCTCTACGGATTCCTACTTCGTTGGTTCAAATACCTGTCGATGCGCCCCTGTCATGTTGCTGGCTTATAGCAAAAAGGTGGCACTATACCGAATTTTTGGCCTTACATAGAAAGGTCCACAGACGAGATTTATTTACCGTTCTTCATTGATGACTCTGAAATGTGTTTCGTTCTCTTGGCTCGCTCGTTATCCTTCCTTCTACCAGGTGATACTTTCAAAATGAGCCCCTCACAAGCCCTGCACGTTATCAAATACCTTACTACAGAATACTTCTTACACCGAAACAATTTAGCCGCCATTTTGCCAACGGCTTTTGGGTTCTAGAAAAAAATAAACGCGCGCCGACATTGTTTTTTTTTTCTTTTTAATTTAGAGCGGTTACTACCACCAGATATCATAGTGGACGGCGTTCTCGGCAGTGAAAACAGATGTTTATGCAGTATTAGTGAATCCGCGTAGTGAAAAAGCGCTACAGCGTGAAGAACGCGACGCACAGAAGTTGTCTCGGAAGCGGGATGTTCACGCTACCACGGCAGGATGGGTTGCTGTAAGCACGCCGTCTAATGTAAATGAGCGGAGTGGAATGTATTTTCCTAGTAAAGTATTTTACGTTATGGTTGTGACCTTCTCTTTTCTCGTCACGTGATTCGTTACATTTCTTTCGTAACTCAGTGTGCTTACTGTTTCATAGCATCTGGATGTGTGCCTCAACCGTTTTAAAACAAATTTTTACTATGGACGAAGATATGCCATTCGAGTAAACGTTTGGAATCTCTTCTTTACCAGGAGTATATAAATGAAGTCTCCACCTGCGGCTGTGCACTTCCGCTACCCATGCACTACTTTCCGCATTTCGTCGTAGATGATTGAGGGCGGCTGTTGTTACAAACGGCGCTCTGCATCAGTAACCTCGTTGTCGGACGCAAAACGTGCACCCTTTAGATTAACCTTTATCTTGGGAAACAGCCAAAAGTCTCATGGTACGATCAGGGTTGAAAGTTAAATAAGGCAAAACACCTATAACTGAAGCGCCTCCAGCGCCTCGTTGGTCTCATCAACTGCTGCCCTCAACCATCTACGACGGCATGCGGAGTGTTGTGCACCGGTAGCGGAAGTGCCTCGCCACCTGTGTGGACCATATTGATACGGTTATGTGCTCCGGGGATAAAGGACATGTTAAACTTTCATTTGAATGGAACATCTTTCAATTTCGTTGATCAATAAACACAGTAGAGCCTAGGAGGCAAAACTTATTCATCGCCCCTTGTATTTCCTTAGATACATCTTATTCTATAATCCCATACTTCTGTGTCATGTTCTAGTATCTAGGTACTACAGGTAATATGAATATTATGTACCACTTGAACTTAAGCTGCAACTTTTATGCAGGCTCCTTGACATCCTGATTTACTACAACCTGACGTACTCGAGCATACTAATAGGCAGCAATCCGTACGTGAGCTTCCTTTTGATGGCCGCGATGGAATTTCCTGTACGAATCATCGGAGTGCTTTTTGTGAATTACATGAAGCGAAGAACGTCCTACGTCGTTCTCTATGGTTTCACAGCACTTTGCTCGCTGAGCGCAATATTTCTACCGAAAGGTAAGCGCTTTCAAAAGTCGTGCCGGGATATACACGCATTTTATGGACGCAAACATATTTTATTTTTTTTTAGTATGGAAATAACCCGCAGAGCAACCGCAAACTAATCAATGCTCAAACATGTATAAAAAAAACTGTGCGATCTTAAAATAAAAAAATAAAAAATTCATATTGGAAAGCGGCTTAGTTGGCTGCGACCGTTGCGTCCCCCTCAAAATATAATTTTCTAAGGTATTGAGTTGCACTGCAGTCACATTTGGTAGGCAACTCCGTTAGATGAAACCTTAGCGTCCCTTTCACAGACTGTATAGTAATACGTATCAGGACGCGTGGACAGAAAATTGGTTAACTTAGTCTTTCATGTCCCTTTTCTAATAAGCACTTTACTGTGCGCGTGAAAATTACTCGTAGGTAGAAAGCAAATCTGTCAGCTGCGACTCTTTGCGTCCCTTTCTTATAATATAATTTCCTGGCTGCGGGCAACCTCCGTCACACTTCTATGAACATTCTTTCATAGCAGTCTGTAACTGTAATCACGGCAGAGCGCCTCGGGAGCGCACGACGGGAGGGTGCCGACGGGAGAGCACGCAACACGAAAGCGCTTGCCTAAAGAGCGCGCGAGAGGAGCACTCGTAAGCAATTGAGGGCGCGCCACGAGAGCACTACCAGGACCGATGGGTGTGTTACACCATCGTGAAGAAAAAACGTTTTTAACTTGCGAAAGCAAGTTAAATCTTACTATCGCAACTTTGTACAATTGTACAATTCACAACCAACTAGTACGGCGCGTTGAAAGGATGGTCCAATCCGCCTATAGCCTCTAAGTTTCATCTCCGCGCGCAACACTGTTCGGGACCATTTTCTACAGCACCATTTTGTCCTTCTGCTTTTGTTTCAACTTGCGAGTGCCGTGACAGGGTTGGTATAATATGCTAATAATAGCCAAATTGGTGTATGTTTTGTAGCTGCAGCATCAAAGTCTGCTGATGGCCATACATTTGGGTACATTTCTATTCTTGCTTGTAATCAGCCATGAATACCTCCTGAATCAGTTCTGGCTGATTAGAATAAAAGACAAGATTTCTTTTTAACATACACGATATCAACATACGCAAAAAAAAACTAAAACCACCGTTTAAACAAAGAAAAAAGCACTGATCTTTTTTAGCAATTTCGTTGAGTCAACAAAACGCGGCATCTTGAATGCTGCCTTCTTTAACCAATGGTGACCACAGCGTTACAACGGCTTAGAGGTCTGTTTAGTCGCGAATATCATCCTCCAGAGTCGACACCTTATACAACGCGCGCATGCGCTTTCGTGATGCGCGCTCACCGGGTTGCGCGCACTCGTGTCGCGAAGCTCTCGTGTCACGCGCTCTCCCCTCGTCGTCCTTATGCCGCGCGGTCTCGAGTTATACAGCCCTGTAATCACAGCTGTGCGGTGTTTTGTTCCAATTAAAATAATCCGATGTTTTATATTACAACTATATTACAACATCACTATGAGCAGGTGCGTCATGTTGCTAACTAATTTGATGGGAAGGTCTACCCCTTAATTTAGGCCAAAACAATGACAAGTCTGAAGCTTACACATAACGCCGGTCAGCATCCCGGAAGCCATGAGGTGTATATTTTTAAGCCTTATTTTACAAAGTGATTCCTTTTGTTTCGTCTTTTTTTTTTTTTTGCCCTTGAGAATTAAATTTTTGAATGATATTTGTTAAATCTACAAAACATCGGAAGCAGTATTTTGGACGATAAGTTGTTTAACGTGATTTTACGCCTCGGTCTTGAAAGACGTCCCCGGTCTCGGTTGAATATTTTAAGCTGATGCTTTTCAACCTCAAAATTTTTTCAAGTCAAGCGGAAGCTCAGTTAAAGATGATTATGTTGACAAAAGCTCAGAATGCGCCTACATTTAGTGTTGGACATTAATTTTCTTCAAATGAACGATATTAAGTTTCGGTCAGATTGAAACGTGGGTTTAGAATACGTTTGTAGATTTCATTAATTACTTTTACTACGGGTGCACTGCTTTCGTTGCAAGTTTTATGCAAGCTCTTCTAAAAAAAAGTAATACCCCGGACAGCTACAGAATGGCTATAAACAAATTTTTAGGCTGCCAAGTCCATTTTTGCGTTACTAAGTTCAGCTACTCTTTTTATTGAAATACTAGTGGAAAAAATCAGTGTGTATGCTTGTTGAAGCTAAATATATATAACAAGTAAATTACGTTGTACAATAAATGACCTTGGATATCTATAACGAGTTCCATATCTTTGTTAATTTACGGGAAATATTGTTTTTTTAAGAAACAAGTAGTATCATACTCTACGTAATATTATTAGGTGCACAGTCATATGGTAGGGATCGGCAGAAACTCAACGTCTACAACACCTCCTGTATTTTGAATTGCCTGTGGTATAGTATTAATATCGTTTGATTTTTAAAATGTTTTTGATAATTAAAATGTTAAGAACACTGAACATATTTGAACACTCATAATAATTATAGGTATAGAATGTATTCAAATTATAGGGCACGCACTCACGTCCTTGCAATATTGTTGTATGTCTTTGTCTACCTCGGGTGTTTAACACTAGTGGTATTCGCGGAAATATTAATGGTTGCTTGCAGCCACTTGTTGGTAATCTCATTTATACTCATTTCAGACCCCTGGTGGCTACAGCTGAGCTTTGTTATTTGTGCCAAATTTGGCGCTTTGTGCGGAAATGCAGTGAACACGGTGCAGTTATCAGAGTTGTTTCCTACACAAATCCGGACACTGGCTACGGGATTCATGAGCATGGGTTCAAGAGTGGGGGCCATCTTGGCCCCATTTACAAAGGAACTGGTAAGAAAATAGACAACCGCAGCCTTCAAGATAGGCAGTACATGACGTTTCTTAAATTACTAAGTACAGAAAAGTGCTTGACACAAATTGAACCAGAAGAAAAAAGGAAGTGTTTGGCAAAAGAGCCACTAAGTGATTTTTTTTTTTACATACTATATTCATTTTTACAATGTGGCGTCAAATAATTTAAGTTCGATTATTTGCGCGAATAGACTCATAATACATGCGCTGGAGAGGTTAACCATAGGGTCAGTCCATAGCACAAAAAGGTTTTTTGCGAGTCCCTTATTCTGTGCTCAAACTGTACCTGGACATTGTCTATTCACTTTCATTGTCTATTCACCTTGCGGCATCATATAAGTGCACAAACTGGGGCTTTGCTTATTTTAATCTAATATAATATTGCTAGTCGTTTTGTCATTTTTTAGGGATTATTTTACATGGTTAAGTGACATCATAAACGAGTGCCTCCCGAAGCAGGCACATCATTAGTGCAATGAAAGCGCAAATATATAGAACGGAAGGAAGACGTATGTTGAATTTGGTTGTCTTGTTTGTCTGAAATGGGTCTTTGGTTTAAAGCCTACAGATATGTTAAAGCTGGTTTATGCGCTCTGACTGGGGCCTGCGAATTCAAGCCGAGCGCATTCACAAATATTAAATGAATGTCTATCTCAATTCAGACGCGGTTTTGAGAAAACTTTTAAATTTTGACCAACAAAATAAATTTATTGGGAATATTTATAAGTCGAAAGACAGCGGCAATGGCAAGCTTGGTGCACTTTTTGTTTCCAAGTTATGGACTATTGAATCGGCCGACTAGCATTGCACTGGTAGCGACATACCACTTAAAATTACTTTAACTTTACCATCTCTCTCTCTGAGGCGTCAAATAGCGCGCTTATGTTTGTTCCACAAAATTAAATTTTATAATTTTATCTTACGGTATCAAGGGATAGCACTCCTCTAGCATTAAGTTACAGTCCAAAGTACCGTAACAAGGACATAATTCAATCGTAAATTCTTTCTCATACAGCCTAAATAGGAACCACCTCCATGGGTTTATTGCTGACATGACTTAGCCCAATTCGTTCCGAAATGCTCTCACCAACCAATTTTTTTAATTATCTATGACCTAGCCGTTTCCTTGTTATCGTTTTTTTTATATATTGTCATTGTTAATTTGTTACACTTCTACTCCACACTTTATTTAACTGCTATAAAGGTTTCAGGCAATGAGCGTATGTTCAATAAATAAGTATTCGAAATTAAAATAGGATGGACATTAAATTTATTAATCAACTGATGAATAAAATAATGCTTCAATCGCTATCAATGTTTTTAACCGGTTATTCGGTTAAATTCGGAATAACAAAAAGGAAAAGTAAACACTCAAAGCGTTCATCATGCTCACGTAGACGAGTACACGTCTATGAAGGACACATTGGAGGAAATTTTGACCTAGAGTAAACTGAAGGGTCAAGTCTTGTAACTTCAAAACAGTAGAGTAAGTGATGGATGTCCTAGCCACTTCAACGCCGTGCGAGTCTTCGTTCAGTGCAGCAGACACCGTTGTGAACAATCAAAGGAGTCTACAATTGCAGGTGAATATCTACGAACCTTTTTGCCTTTACGGCTGAAGTAACGATTTGCTAGTGTGGGTGTCGTTTCACTGTTCTCATCTACTCCTCAGGGTTGATTTAAAATATGAAAGAGTACATTGGACCGTTGATTTCGTATTCAACCAAACCAAAACATTTAATTTTTAATTTTTGTAAAAACTACTATGTATTGTAATGAACAAAACCAATGAGTCGATTAATTAATAAATTAAAGTGTAGCAATTAGTCGGGTTAAATGAGTTATTCGACTACCAGACCTAAATAATATATATTCCATATGAAACTTTTTTTTTAATGAGAGAATACTTCGAACTTCTATCTAATTTAAAACCGATTTTCTTCCAAACGCATTTTGATTTGCTGATTGTATTATTTGTTGCAAGATATGAATATGACCTATCTAAAAATCTATATCGAAATGTTTATTTCTTTTGTTTCTATGGCTGCTATGAAAGATTGCATCCTATCAGTTGTGTTGTAGCAGTGTTGTTTCGAGGCCAAAACTGTGTCGTGGAAATAAAAAATTAATTGTTTTAGTAATGCCGAGTAAAAGTTATTTTACTATGCACCAAATATTGCCGTATTACATGGTACATCTGACAAGATAAAAACTTTATTCCATTCATATACAACATATATTTTTACTTATGTTTGGATGCAACACTGTTACACATTTCTAAAAGTAAAAAAATAAAGAAAATAAGGATAAGGTTGTTGAGATAATGAATATTGAATTTTCCAGATATACGTAACGTTAGTTCATTCAAATATGTCCAGCGAATTTAATTTTTTTCGTGTAACATTATATTTATTTCCTATAGAATAAAATAACATTTGAGTTTCTTGATGCTATTGAAATCATTAAAATATTTTAAATTCTTCAGAATTCAAAATATTTCATCAGACGAGATACCTTCGCGGTGTTTAATAAGAGATGAAGCTATAAGCTCGATCTCGTTTTTTGCGCTGTTTTTATTATAAAATAGCATGTACCAACTCATTCAGTTCTCAAATTTAGCCTTATCTTAAATATGTCACATGTAAGGACTTTCGAAACTTTCGTAAACGTAATCAAAGGACGCATGGTTAATAGAGAGGTGACCCGGTTAACGTTTACGTTACACATGATTCTAGGCTACGTCGAGGGACGACAAAGGGGACAAGGGACAAACACAGACGTGTCAAACACCGCTCAGTAGATTTTATCCTGTTTTATTTGCAACCCCTCACACGACCTCTGCCGACTTTTCACACATGCACACAACCAGCGCCACGCCTCCGCAGGTTTTCGCATAAAAGCCACAGGCTTTCGCATAATTTGATGGGGACTGCGAATAGGTTCTACGTTAAGGTAATCTTTATTAAAGTTCATAAGTTGGGCAGGCTGACGCCATTTTTAAGGTTGTTCAAAATGAACAGTGAAGCCCCTGTGAAGTGCCAGGTTGGTGCCTTCTATGACATTTCAATGCCTGTGGGTTCTCCTACGAGGGACAAAGCGCTGCTGGAATGAAAGATTACTCGAGCACAAGAGAGCTATCAAGAATAATGCAACGAACTCAGAAATTTCAGGTCATGTAGAAGAGTGCAATAATTGTTTATGGGTTTAAGGGAAGACTATTATATTTATTAAAAAGAAAGGTCCTTCATAAAGTGTTTAGAAGACCATTAGGATTGGCTTTATGGTAAATTGTTTTAGCCAGTCTTCAATCGCACTGGATGCGGCATCGCAGAGGTTTTCACCGTTGTGAGGGGTGGAATAGGAAAAAAAGAGTACTAAATGAAATTATATATATATATATATATATATATATATATATATATATATATATGCGGTTTTCCTAGAAAAGTTTGAGGTTTGAGACGTGTACAGTAATGCAGATACTAAATAGCTCCATGCAAGCGGTCGTTTTGCGAGGAGCGCCGTATTGTAAGTGACTTACGTTCGAGCTAGACCTGACGTCAGGACTCGTCCATGTGGAGCTGATAGGGGACAGCCCATAAACGCAAACTGCCGTTATCACCTGCGCCAGACCAGGTCGCCAAAAATAGGCACGTAGCAAAAAATTAAAGACGTTTACGAATTTTTATGTTGCGAAACTAGAGCGCAGCTCTTGAGGCGGTGGAGGGAAGGGTCCGGAAGGGAGGGTATGCCCCTCCTCCTCCTCCTACCATCCTCCTCTTTCCCCCTCCTCCTCCCATCCTCCTTCCGTCCTCCTTTCCTCCTGCCGCTGAATTTGTTCATGCGTGACGTGACACAAGCTTGTGACGTCATTTTGTCCGCTATATTTAGCGGGGAAACTCATTTGGTGTTGAAGTCAAGTGACGTCAATTTTTTTGCTAAATTTAGCGGGATATCTGAACCAGCTAAAGTTATCGGGGGAATTTTCCCACTAAATTTAGCGCAACAGATTTTCCTGACTACATTTAGCTATCGATTTCCTGTCTAGCGTTCGCTCTTCTAAAGTGAAAAGAGGTGGGAGGAGTTTACACTTCACTCTTAAACTGTCGCCGACTCTAGTTTTTGTCTTGGGCAGTTGCTCCATGTGAGCGACGGTTTGTGTAGTCGAGGTACGTCCTTGAGAAAAGAGATCGTGTTTGCAGCCTTGTAGCGGAATTGTGGTACAGGTGGTTAACGAGACAAAAAACTGGGAAGTAAAAATAAAAACGAAGCACAAGGCAAATAAAAACAATAGTATAAAATTTTACGAATACAATATAAGATGAGAGCTACGTTCAAGCGTGAATATATTGGCAACCTGAGATCAGTATGGCGTAGGCCATTTGTAGCGCTTCAGAAATGGAAACAGGTCCCCGCAGCCGGTTGTCTGCGGGCCGCATTCCAACGAATCAGTGGCCACGTGTGGTATGCCGGTCACATGTATGACACTCCTAACATAATAACTACCACTCCCCCCCCCCCCCACCCTTCCCCCCCCCCCCCAAAAAAAAAAAAAAAAAAAGAGGCACATTTTTTACGAAACATCCGAATCGCAAGTTATGAGGAATAAATTAAACACGGGATATTTTATGCAGGGTATAATTGTGGGCCCCTGGGCACCCAGGGCTGTCGACTGCATTGCTTGCGTCGCCATCGCAGGGATGGGATTGTTACTGCCTGAAACCTTCAAGGCGGCGCTTCCAGACACTATCGGAGACGTCAAGCTCGCCAGGTGATGTCTGCTTGAGACTGCTTAGTTTGTGAATTATGGTACCGATAGGAACAGTAACCAAATTACATGCAGCAGTGATGGCTAAAACTTCCAAATCTTGATAACGTGTATACGGTAGTTTCTAACAAAATAACAAGTTGGCTGCGACAATTTTTTCTTATCTCTCATGTTAATGGCGATATAACATATATTGTGCATTTATGTTATTTTAGGTCGCTCTAATTGTCTTATTTTGAACTAAACGAACGTCTTTTGATATACCTAACGTAATACTTCTGCGATAATAAAACGGAACCTGGTTTATCATTGTAGATATAAAAAACTCACGTGCAGCGCGCAACCCATTTTGTATGACAGCTTGCTATTTTTTGCCGAATAATAATTTAATATTTTGTGTTTTCTGTGGACCTTACATGTTCAGAAGGAAGAAGAGTGGCGCCCTTGAAGAGGTGATGCTGAAGAAGGAACGATCCTCGGAAGTGGACAGCACAAACACGAACGGCCATGCTTAACATTTGTAATAATTTTCTGTATAAGTAAACTAGAGTAGTGCAACTAAGTATTCACTTGTGGCTTGTTTGTCAGGTACGGATTCAGCACTAATCCTTAGGTTTCCCTTAAACAGTTTAGGGGCATTACAAAGTGGTTAGGGAAGTATACGGAATAAAATCGTTTAATAGCAGGGAATATCTTATATTTACACCCTCAAAAATCTGGTGTGTCCACCACTAGGCGATTGACAAAGCTGAAAATGTCTTCCTGCCCAAAAAACACTCTGCACTCTAACAATAAGCATGACGTCACACGCTCCTGCGTCATGCTGAGTGTCACTGTGCAGATTGTTCTTTTTAGGTCTAAACATATTTTCAGCCTTTTTGAGTGCACCCCTTGTCACTTACTTAAAGAAAACGATTTGTTTACATTCAGTACATCCGCTGAAATTAATCCTTGTTATTCATGATATTCTTAACACAAAAGTTTGGCAGCAACCTTTACTTTCAAAGTCCTTTAATGCATGAAATGTAGTATTTAAGATGTGATAGTTTTAATTGGTTCATGAGACTATATACAGCCTTGCATAGTATATGTGACGTGGAATCAATATATATATATATATATATATATATATATATAAGAAGTAAATATCAGGTGAAGTGGGGTCACGTGACGTCAAATTTCCCGCTACATTTGGCGGGGAAACTGGGGCAACTACATCGGTGTATAGGTAATGTCACGTACATTTTTCCGTAGGCGGAGAAACTAAATTGATGCGTAGCTTCTGTGACGTCCTGTGACGTCACGTCACGTGACACCGAATTTGCCGCCAAATTTTTGCGGGGAAACTAAATTGGTCTATAGTTCGTGTGTCGTAAATGTTTCCGCTAAATATGGCTGTGAAACTGGATTGGACTAAGTCGAGTTATGTCAGGTCACGTGAAATTAAATTTTCGGCTACATTTAGGGGCGAAATTAAATTTGCGTATGTCTAGGTAACGCGACATAAATATCCCTGCTAAATTTAGCCGGAAATGCGCGGACTGACGGACGGAGGGACGGACGGTCGGACAAAAGTTTTGGATCGTGGGTCGCGTTAAAAATCATTTCTTGCTTTAAAAGCCTTTCTCACGCAGTGACAATCTCATCCAAACTTTAAAAAAAAAATATATATATATATGTATATATATGCTCAGTGTACACTTTCTTAACCTAGCAATGAGGTCACATCGCAAGGCATGTGCTGAGCTGCAAAATTTGTTCAAATCCATTTCGGATATCCCCGTCATTGCAGCGATTGAAGGAGAGCGACTTTCTGAATGTTGCCGAGGGTTTGACTCTCACGAGCGCAGGTCAGAATCTCACACAGTTCTGTTCAATTCATGAGCCGCTTTTGACAAGCGTCATTAAGGGAAAAGAGCAAATCGACTAAGTTCGAATCGCGATCCCCGCATCTATGTCTTCAAGCTATGTGAAGGCGAGACTAAGAAGAACTGTCCGCTTCTACTTAGTGCTGTTCCCGTTCACCACTCGTCCAGAGAAATTCGCTTGGTCATTATGAAGAGTGTAATTCTCAATCCGGGCATTCGGCGGCTTTCGCCGCATGGCTGAACTGACTCGTTCCCATTCCACGCGCATCGTGACCCGTGCGTTGCCCAGCGGTCGTACCCCGCGCACCCGGCGCGTCGTTGCCAAAGTTCTCAGTGTTCACAGTCCCCGCACTTTTTTTTAAATTTTACAACAAAAAAAAAAGTGTTTTGATTTGGTATTGCTGCGTGCAAGTATTTGTGTTACACGGTTGCTAGACTTCTTGTGTTAATTAAGAAACACTCCATCCCAGTATTGTATTTTTAAATAGAAAAAAAACGTTACGCTGACCAATCCCTCAAATTACAATTGAGATGAATCGAGAAAAAAGTACAATAAATGCATTTAGATTTCTTATGAATGTATACGTCATATTTTGCAGGATCCCTTTTGCGATAGAAGTAACAAAATATTCCCGGCTGAATACCAGGAACCTGAGGAAGAAGGCACAAAATATGTCACAAGTAATTGAAACTGACAGGATGAATATGAATTTATTTTTGAAGCGCACCTGTAGACAACAATCGCGGCGCTGCAGTTGACATGGCAGCAGAAAGTCGCTGCAGCCCGCACGTGCCGCCGCACGTGCAGGTGCACGCGATGCACACGCAAAATTACCACCATGCTGGCCCCAATACCAATTAAAGACCATTCATGTTTTAAAGTAGCACAAGGTGCGTCGATGCAAGAGGCACGTGCAACGTGCATCCCTTGGGAAGATCATGGCGGCACAGCGCAGCCCTGAGCTAGATTTCAGACACCATGTTCTTCCCAGAAGTGGTGCGCGGCAAGTGTCTCGAGCCTTTCCACAACAATAAATGGCGTCACCTTTCCTGAAATATAGGGGTATTAATTCAGCTCGGTCGTGGTGGACGCTAGCGGCCCAGGTTTCAACGGCGAGTTTCCCGATTGAGTGTTGTATGGTAACGCTGTCTTTACACGAAAAAAACCTCTACCCTTCTTTATCTTTTTCTCGTTGACCCGGAACACAGCCACACTGAACTGTCTTTGGGCTTGTTCTTTTCTATCAAAACCACATCCCTTGGCCCGTTTTCCCTTCCTTTCTTCTTACCAATATTACTGGAGAAAATATTATAATTTATAACTTATAAATTATAATATTCACTCCAGTAAATATACAGTCGCTTTACAACACGAGGCCGATAAAGACCGATTTATCTCCGGCATTAAAATTAGACACTGAACAATACTGATTCTAAGGGAAAAAACAAACGCCGATGAATAATCCCGAACTTCAAAAAACAAAAAAAAAATGAATACCGAAAACAATGAACCCTAGTTATCTCCCATACCAAGCGCACATGAAGGCACCTTGTACCCCTGTCTGACGGCATTCTAAACGCTTCTTTTCACTAAGCCCTTAATAATATCAGCCAGTGAGCTCGCGATGTTGGGTGCGCACGAGCCCTACGGCGTGCGCTGGTTTGCGGATTTTATAAAGGAGCTTGTTCTAAAATTGTGAGAGTCCACGTGCCTTTAAAAAGCCCGTCTGACAGGGGTATTAGGCTTATCCCATCGCTTGACCTTGTGATCATACGCATATAAACCAATGAAAAAGGTACCTGTGCGATAAGATGTACTTGCCAGTTTATTTTTCAGTAAATGGAGACCAGCAACTCTGGCGTGCGCGAAGCTACATGTATGATTTTCGTTGTGCGACTGCATGGACACTATTAATAGTAAATATATTAACGACAAAACCATGTCAGTAAGTCTATAGTGAGCAAAACAAATAACCCTTTAAATAAATGTTTGACTCGAGGGGAATCAAATAATCCAGGCGAATCCAACACAAGAGGCGACTATGTTATTTGAGCTTATGTTATGATGAAGTATAAACGATGGTCACTTTAATATTCGATTGATGCTCTCGATATTGCTAGGATTCCCGTCGGTTTTTCCTTCTTGGGCTCGCAAAGCGGTTGCTGAAACGTGAATCTCAAGGGGCGGCAGTACTTGCCGGCGTTGAGTAGCTGTTATATGAACTGCATAGTAGTCCGACAGGTATTTTTCTGCCATGACCCAAACTGGCAGAAAAAAAAATATACCCTCGCTCACTCTCGTGTTCTGGGTGTTTTACTAATGTCGTCCTTTTATTTACCCACCACAGCTATCACAGATGCGTCATCTTAGTGGCAAAGTGTTTTGTCATGCCGTAACTTATATATGTAGACAGCTCTTAATCGCTTTTTGTCAATGCGTGCTTGACACCTTGTATGGCATTTTAGATCACTGTTCATGTTTCTTTGTAAGAATTCCTAATTTGTGTTAGTGGGAGCGGGGCAAAAATTCATACGCGAATACTCATGTTAGCGCTAACTTGACAAAATTTTGCACATGCCGGCACGTGGGTGTTCACTTAACCTTATACATTCACACAGGTTCATAAACTCCATACTGAAACGAGATATTTCATCTCCTATTGGTAAAAATGTGTATGTTAGTTGAGGTATTGGTGTTTTTGCTTATGCCATACTCTCCTCTACGAAACAAGAATCGATTTTTTCTTACGTGCCGAAATGAAATTGGAAAATGACGAATATTTGTTGCCCATCACCAAGTAGTTTTTTTTAGTGAAAAACACCTCTTGAAATAATATGTTGTTTTATATTTTTAGTGTAAATTACGTGTTTGTCCTAAAGTTCCTTGGAACACACGAGCACTACTAAGCGAATTTTAGCCCAATCTAGCGTGTGTGCTGTATTTGCCTCAATAAAGAATACATTAAAAATGTTTGCTTTTCTTTGATACTATTACCGTAATGAACGGAAGAGCAGCCAGAAATATGTTTGCCCCATATAGAACAGGTACTCGCAAATGCTTCACAGCTTAATGTATTTCGAGTTGATGCATGGTAGAGATTAGTATATAGTTACTTATCTACCGCGCAACTTACACTAAGAAAGGTTTCTTCTGTACCTTTTTATTGCATCAGGCCCTAAAATTGTATATAAAATCAAACCATAATCTGCTGTCAATAGCTAACACTTAATTATTCGAGTATTTCATGTGAGTTCAAATAATGCATGTGTAAACGTATTGCTTCGCCTGCACGGAATTAATCATCAAAGTATGGTATCCTGCTCTGAAATATTCAAATAATTATTTTGAAGAAACATTCGGTATATTAGGTGTAAGGCAGTCTCAACAAAAATCTTCTTGTGGTGATTGTTGTTATATTTATTCATTATTCAAAACTAAAGATAGTTTGATTTTTAGCCTATTCATCTTACATGTAAAACGCTTGGCGCCCCTGCAAAAAATACGCTGAATATTAAACATACCCCGGAAGTGGACAGTACTAACGAGAATGACCATGCTTGAAGTTTCGGGTATCTGTTTGCGAATTGATACGTTTTGTTCAAGTTTTTCAGGGTCCCCATGCCATGCACTTGCTACTGTTAGAAAGATTTCTTAATGTGTGGGTTTCGTGCGAGAGTTCTATTGCATAACCAAGTG